GCTGCCCCCAAATTGTCACTGGTACTGTATCTGAAGTCAACTTTCACACATTTAATCCTTTCTGTTTGATGTATTTCTTTAGTGGTGAATTCTAATCAGTGTGCTGTGTTGAGCTTTGGCCAGACATCCGTGTCTTTGAGAAGGTACTTGCACACAATATTGTGGAGAAATTTAAATTAATCAGGGAACCAAATCCATTGGAGATAGTCTGTACAGTAAAATGAGCTCTACAACCCATCTAGGTTTATACCACTTTGGATGTGAAATTAATCTTTTCAATTCTGACCAAGTGGTCTGTTGCTTGTCTTGATAACTCCCTCTGTCACGCAGACCTCAAGATAAAGCCCCACAAGCTGGGGGGGCTACAAAAAGGCCTTTCACAAGTAGACTTGTGTTCTCTCTTGCTGGCATGTCCCACAAAAGCTGCTCCGAGCATTGTCTCTGAAACCGCTGCCAAAGTGACCAGGGGATGACATGGCCCTTCTGGGAAGCTTCAGTGGAAACCTTAACCTGACAGGAGCAGGTGTTTCCCAGCACTGGCAGCAGGTTGTTTGTTTGTTTGTTTGTTTTTCCGAAGCTGCCATTACATTTTGTTACATAGTTATTAACCTACATCAAAACATTTTATTACAGGATATGGAGGAGGAGATGTGCAAGTGAAAAGCCTTTAGCTGATGATGTGCAAAACAGGGGGGAAAGCACAGCTTGTGCTGTACCTGGAAAAGAGAAAGAGACCAAAGAAAGCAGGGCTGGTCTCACATGAGCATTCCAGTTAATTTTGAAAATAATGTCTCTGTAGTCTTTCATTTTGTTGGAAATGACTGGGTGGCTTTCACACAGTGGTTTTGCCTTGATGTGTAGTTGCTGGGTCAGTGTGCTTTATATTTCTTTCGTTTTGTTCACTGGTTTCACTTTTTATACTCTGCTTTTTCAGTAACTTTCATTTTGGACCATGAAATTCTCAACAGCTTTCATATGGTTCCTGATGGACAGTCATTGATCAGAAATGGGATTAAAGGGGAGCAGAGGACCACAGGGACCTGTGGCAGAAAAACTGAGGGAGCTCATTCTCCTCCATTTATCCCCTCTGAAACATGACCTCTCAGTTAGGCTTTCTAATTAGAAAAACTAATTAGAAGGTGGAGCAGGGAGACATCCAGGGCTGAGCTGTTCATGGTTTTCTCCCATACTCTGAGCTGTCAGTGAAGGAGTAGGGAACAAAAGTTCACTCAGATCTTTGAACATCTCAAATTGCTGTTGTGTGTGTGCCTCTCCGTGCTGCAGCACCCCAGCTGGAACCAGGGCTGCCTGTGTCAAACACAGTGTGTAGGTAGGTGTGCAGCCATGAGGGAGGAGGAGCACAAGAAGAATGCAGAGTGAGAAACCCTCTTCTCTCTTCCCCCACTCCAGAAGAGGCAGTGCTGCAAGCTGCAGATGGGCACCAGAGCTAAGGGTTGGAAGGGGGAGACTGAGGAAATGGAGGGTCACTGGAAAAGACCAGTGGATATCCCACTGCAACCTCAGTGCCCTGTCCCCTGAAATGCTGCACTCACCCAACCCTCCAGCCCATGCCACCCACTCATCCAAGCCCCCTGAGAGCTGCTGTGGTCAAAGGTGCCTGCCAGCTACAGAGTTATTAGTGCAAGTTTCAAAGAGGCTCAAAACCAAAACACGGTGATGAAGTGGGAGCTTCTGTGCCAAGTGCCAAGCGAACCTGAAAGGTTAGTTTACTCTTTAATGAAATTCCTGCTTCAAAGTCTCCATCTCTTTTTCACCAGGGACCAGCGCTTTCTTTAAGCAATGTTTGGAGGACACCAGTCTGCAAGGGTAATCATCCTCGCCTCTGGCAGGAAGAGCTCGTGCACTAGCATTTCTGAAAAGGCTCTCTTTGTGAATAATTGAATTTGTCTCTGGAGTTCAAGATTTCTTTTTCTGTGGGACTGACTGCAGCTTTGCTTCTTCCTTAGGTGCAGCTTACTGTAATTGAGGCAGAAAAATTGTATCGCAGTGAAGGGTTTTGTGAGCATGACGCATAATACGGTGATTGCCGTGGAAAGAGTCATTTGTAGCGTTCCAAATGCCTCCTCCAGTGGTGAATAGATCTGCAGAAAATAATTTGAGGATCCCCCACTGCCACCCCTTACTCCCACACGAGGGGAAAAGAATTAATGCTTCATGAAGTGTCCCTGTGCAGCGGGCAGAGCCCCGTGCTGCAGTGCACTATTGAGGACCCATCCTGGATGATATTCAGGGCCCATCGGTTCCTGCCAGTGCCTGGGACACAGGCGACTAACATCCAGGTCAACTGCTTGTCCAGCCCAAAAGAAAATGCTGGGATTCACATATCCACTGACAAGGTATGTCACTTGCGTGGGCACAGCTGCTTTTCCTCTAAAACCTCCCAGCCTTGCAGTGATTTCTGGGGTCTCTCTGGAACAGCAGGAAAAATCTGCACATCCCAATGCTGGGACAATCATCCCTGTAGCTGCCTCACCAAGGAAAAGCCAAATACAGAGATATACTTCTTCCACCTAACAGCAAGGTCTGCTGTCCCTGAGCGTGTTTCACTACCACCTGTCATCCCTGCCATCCATAACCTGGTGTGTGACATCCAACTGTGGCATCTACAAAGCTGCCTGTGAGTAACTTTTCAGGAAAGGGGTAGTGGGGGAAGAAGCTCTCATAATAATTTGCCCTGCTGTGAGCAGGACCTCAAGTCTTGCTGCAGGGAGATGTCTCCCTGCCAGCAGGTTGAGGTAAGTGGTGTCTCAGAAGTGGTTTTTGACGCCATAGGCAGAGGCAGGGCTTAGCTGTTCATGCACATGAATGTCAGCAGCAAGGTGAATGACTATTTCAGGATCTGGGCTTGAGGTAGGAATTGGGGCAAAACTCAGCTCTGAATCGAACAAAAATCCATCGAGCTGAGGGATTTCTTTTTTGTCTGTCTTTCATCACCAAGCTCAGCAACGGCGCTGGGTGGCTGCATTCAGCCAACACAATGTATCGTGGCAGCAGTATATTTTTAGAGTATTATTGGGGGGGGGGGGGGGGGGGGGACAAATTCCAAGGGCAACATACAGTGATATAGTAACTCAAAAAAGCTGCTCGGGGATTTCTGTGGCTATTGAATATGCCACACAGCACTTGGACTGTCTTGTCAAATTGCGATGTGTATTTCAGATCCATAAAAAGCCTCATTTAAGACTGTTTTGCTCCATGTTACACAAAATACATTCTCTCATGGTACAAAGCTTACATGACCTGATCAGCAGGAGAAGTAAAGGTAACTGCAATCATGAATGAATGCCCAAATTTTAGATTAAAGTCCAGTTTTCTTTGACTCTAGCATCTGCAGGTAATCTCTGGGTTCTTTGTGGTCTCTGCTCTGAACTGGAAACCAGAACGTAACTGTTTAATGTTTTTACTCCCTTGTGTGTCTGTCAATTACAATGGCTTGACTATTCTGTTCATCCTCAGCTTCAGGACTTGTTGATCCTCTGGGACAGATCTTTCTCTCTCTATTGAGTTTCTAATGACAAGCAGAGGTTTCTTCCCCAGGGACAATTCCTTTAGCAGTAACCAGGGCACCCAGTGCATTTCCTCAGGTAGAGGAAGCAAAACAAGGAACTGTACCTTAAGCATTTATCCTCCAAGAAGTGTGGAGCCCTGACTGCAGCCGTTCCAGCTGGAGCCTTTATCCCTTCTGAACATGCTAGTGAAAGATTGTGTGTGCACAAATTAGGGCAGTGGTATTGATGCTGATTACGTCTGGTAGTGCACAAAATAGGAAAAAGACTAGTGAAGACTTTCTTTTTCACTTTGTACCTTGCCGCCTGGAGCAATGAGGAGCTCCATGGTGAGCAAATGTTGACAGTCAGGAAAAGACATGTCAGAACCCAGATAACTGAAGGATGGACCAGCCACCCAAGAGAGGGCGCTGCTTGTAGAGAGCATGGTCTGTTTAAGGGACTGTGACACTTGCCTTCTCTGCCCTGGTGGATGGACTGTGATCATCTCTCTCCCAAAATCCAAAGGGTGGGTTGTCCTTGGCCCCCTGAGCATGCAGCCAAACACCCATCCCACCTCGGGAGGAGCCAGCAAAAAGCTAATGTCCACGCTGTGTATTTGAGGTGTCCTGCCCTGCCCTTTTTGGTTTTGGGGAAACAAGTACGATAAGTAGGAACTCAAACCTGCTTCTTTCTGAAAAGCTGCCAGCAGCAGATCCAGTTTGCATAAGACTTGCCTGCAAAACTAGCAGGTGTGTGCCAAGCTCATGGAAATGCAGTCTGCTTCGAGGACAGCTCGGAAGGATGTGCAGGTGACGTGCAATAGAGGCAGGTGACAGGACTGGCAGGAACCACGCTCTTCTGCCTGAGGGTGCTGCCATCACCAAAGCTGACAGCTGAAGGACGGTACAGGGGTTGACCACACCAAGGGATGTCACCATGTGTAATGCTGTAATTCTTCATCTCGCAGAAAATAATTAATGGTCTTATCAGGAGCAAAAAGGAAAAAAAAATGTGAACGTAGAAATCTCTCAGTTCACTCTGTTATAATTTCGGGGGAGTGGTTTTGTTATTTTGCTGGGGTTTTTAAAGATACTGAGTATAGAGAGTCTAGAAATAATATATTTGAGATATTTTGAACTAACACATGAAGGAAATGAAGCTGGGGAAAGAAAGCTTTTTTTTTTTTTTTTTTTTTTAATGCTAGCTACTATGTAGTACACAGAAAACACAGAATCATCAAGGTTGGAAGAGACCTTTAAGATCATCAAGTCCAACCACTAACCTAGCACCACCATAATCACCCCTAAATCATATCTCAAAAACATTTTATATTCAACCTTAGACACCTGACATATTTTTGAGAGCATGTAAACCAGTAAACTGCTTATCCTGAGTTTATCTGAAAAAGCAAAAGGAAAAAAATTGGTCTACAAGATGAGCTTGCAATGTAGATGTTTTCAACTTAAAGGTTTCTCAAGATGTACTAATTTTATCCCTCTGGCAGGAAACTGAGGCTTTCACATTTAATGAAGCATTTCTTTGAAGTCATGCTAAGTGACTGTGTTGCGCATCTGCACAGGGCAGACCATCTCAACTTCCTTTTCTGAGAGCCTGATGGGAGCACCAAGAGAGCTACATACTTAGCAGAGCTTCATCAAGTGAAGATGGAAGAAAGGTGGCTCTTCTCTCTCTTTTGTTTCCTCTGGGTACCCAGCATCACAGGTAGGAGTGTCCGTGGGACACCTTGATTCAGTTTATGATGGATGGTCGGGAGGGGCAGGCTGGGCTTCGTGTGTCTCACTAGTGTGTCTCACAGCTACTGGCAATGATTTACTGTTTCCTGACAACTTTCTAATCACCCTAGTTATAACGTGCAGCTAGTAAGGAGTAAGTGGCTTGTGCTGACTAGCAGATCACTTCATTCAAATTGCCTAACCTGCCGGAATAGTAGATGAGATCAGCTCACGTGTACTTCGGGCAATGTGTGCTCATCTCAAATGGGCCAAAGGAAAACTGCTTTCACTGAGAAAAGAAAAAACAACACCTCTCTCTCTCTCACAGACATACCTGTGTATGGGGAGAGAGGAAGAACTGAAACACTGCGAGGGAAAATTGTACAGCTGCAAAACTTTAAATAGATTCTTCCCTTCTCTTTCCTTTCCCAGCTCTATGTGCTGTGTTAAAGGCTTGAGAAACAAGTTTGTCATCAGAGTAAAACTTTCAGAGAAGTAGAGTAAGGAGGGCTGCATCCCTGCCAGAGGGAGCTTAAACCAAAAACAGTCCAAGGAAAACCAAGAAAAAGCCTGATATTCTCAACACCCTCCACCTACCACCCCCAAAATTCTGATCACGTTCCATGCAGGAATACTTATTATCAGCTAGGAAGAACAATTTTGTAGGATACACATTTTTCCAGTTAAGAAAGGGAGAACTGCATGTATCTGACTGACATGGTAAGATGCATCTCAGAATCTGACATAGCCTGTTCTTATTTTCTTCATCACTGAGGCAAACAGGATTTAAAAAAAAGGAAAAATAATTCATATGTGTATTCATAGAAAATATAAGTTTTTGAATGCAAAGAAAGAAATAGAAGCCTCAAGACATGCACAGGAGAGCAATACTAATTAGAGAAAAATAGGACTTGGGGTTTTTTTCCTGAGGATGAAATCCTCACTGAAGTCACTCAAAGGTGAATGTGGACATCACCACGCCCTTTGTGGAGGTCAGACACTTAAATGTCTGTGAGTTACTCGAAGAAATTTCATTTGGAGTACAAGTATGAGCTAATGGACGATATTTGATTTGAAAAAACAAAGTTGACATAAAATGAGAATGCTTATATTAAAATGCTAACAAGAAGTTAAGAACACTTTTGCATGAAAGAATTTCAGTTAAAGTAACCTGACGTGCTTGGCTACTAACAAATAACACAAATTAAAATGTTGTTTCTACATATATAACTTTTTCAGCTTAATATAATCTCCTCAAGTGATAATTCGTAAGCATTCTTTACATGATTCTTTGACCTCATACACCACCAGCATGATTGTGAGAGTAAGTGTGTTATGTGTCGTTTGCCTGGTAGTCTGATCATAAGATTGCTAATTGCTTTTTCCTTAACTTTTACTGGTACAAAGCTTGCAGTGAAATCAGTGAGCATTTCCTATAATAATCTCCTTGGGCTGACAAAAAGAGTTTTCAGTAATTTTTCTCACAACACTTGTCATTCAGGCTGTTTTTTATTTACCCACTTACATCATCCTATCTCTTAGAATACAATGAAAAGATTACAACAGAGCAAGTGCGGCAATGAAACAACAGAGATTAATGTTGACCATGTCCATTCAGTAGCTTTGTTTTCCCCACACCTGGTATCTGTGTATCCATGTCGCGCTTCAGTGGATAGGTACCAAATCTCAGCCATCTCTGAGGGGATGTGGAGCTGTGCCCTTGTTCCTTTTCCCTGTCTAATCAGAGCTGATGGTGCACTGGGTCCCTGTCTTGCTCCTGGCTGAGCTGGCAGAGTGTGGACCACACTGCAGGTACTATCGAGGTTGCCTTACCTCTGACCCTGGCTTAAGTGCCCCAGAGAACTACACGGCAGAGAAAATGTCAAAGCAAAGAAATGGGTACCTACTTGTTTCAAGTAAAGAGGGCGAGCAGTGGGCACTTGCTGCTGTGGGGAGCCAGCAGTGTGCCTGATGGGACTGCAGGGCAAATTCCCACAGCAAATATACATTGATATTATGACACACAGGGAGGATAAAATCCAACGTAGAAGGGGTGTGACAAGTCTGTGTCTAAGAGGAACTGCACAGCTCATTTTTTCTGTGGACCTGCATGCCCTTTTGGAAAAGGGACTTTTTGTATATGGCTCTGTGTGTGTGATTGATTACTTGTCTCACTACGACTCCCCTGTCTATAAATTCTTCATCTCCTTGAGTTTGTCAGTACCCTGCATACAGGGGTTTGGGGACTGCAAGACTCTTACTCATAGGAGGGAGAAAGGGAGATAAATCAATTTTACTACAGCAGCAGCTAAACCAAGTAGTATAGGCTCCCGCTGAAAGCCCCTTCATTTCATCGATCCATTACTCCTTTATATGGCACACTAAGGACTGCCACCTGCTTTATGAAATTAATTGAGGAAGAAACCATACAAACCAGGGCAACTCTCTCTGACACTGAGACAGGCACTCGTTTGGGCCATGCAGGAGATGTTTAATAACGTGGATGTAAAGGCGACGGCAATGGGCAGGAGGGCCGCTGGGGGGTGGAATTAGCCAGCAGGGATAACTCATTTGTTCTTGCAAAAAGAGCTGGGGAATAACTGGGCCCAGCTTCTGCTTTATTTATATTACTTGAAAGATTCCTATTTTCACAGAGGCCCTTAGAGCTCCCATTTCTCTCCCGCAAACGTGACAGCAGCTCTCTGCCCTCTTCTAGACACACATGCATTTGCTTTCCCAGTTCTCTCTCTGCAGTCTGTACTGGTGGAGATTTGCTGTAAAACTCCTCCCTGGAAAGCCTGTGGTTACAGTTTTAGGGTCTTCATAGTTGTCTGTGTCTAAGGCACCAAATCATGTCAAAGATAGCTTAAAGCTTTGTTTGAACATTACTTGCACTGAAAATGATCCTGTTTGCTTTTAAGGCCAGTCTAGAGACGTCCTTACTGAAGCAGAAGTGGTCAGCGCTCTGCCAGGTACTGACGTGACCTTGGTGTGCCTCTTCCCAAAATCACGCATCACCCACATAATACAGACACAGTGGTCCAAGACTGAAGACAGCGGGTCTACCAAAATAGCTGTTTATCATCCCATTTATGGCACTCATTACTTCAAATTTTCTGAGGCTTCTTACAATTTTTCGGTGTCCTTCAGCACAAGGGAGTGCTGCAGCCAGGATGGCACAGAACCTTTGTGTTCCACCAATCCAAACGCCCTGTCTGAATGCAATCAGTGGGCTCTGCATCTGAAAAACGTTACCATCGCCCTTAGCGGGCAGTACAAGTGCAGTTTTGCTACTTACCCATATGGGACAAAGGCTGCAAAAATTCAACTTATTGTCAAGGCAGAAGGTAAGTGACGATGAGTGAGATGTTGCTTTATCCTAACAGGGGTGGGGGAGAGTATGAGGATAGATGAACATTTCTTGGTCAGTAATGGTGACCTGTTTGGAGTTTGCAGTGGATGTCACTGAACGTCGCTGCTACAGTTTCCTGTTCACCAGGCCCTCTTTAGTTGTTGTTATCCAGCTCGTGATTAGAAAACCTTATTTGTTTGGAGGAATATGAAGTAAGTCCAAAAGGTGTTGAGATGGGAAGTTCCCGCATTTTTATTTTGGAGAAACGTGCTGCGGAGAACACTGAATGAGCAGCTCAGGATATGGCGGGACCAACGAGGGTGGATCTCCAAACCAGGCTGTGCTGCTGCTATGGGCGTGCAGCATTGGGCACCTGAAAGAGAAAACACCATTATCTGGTTGAGGCTGAGGGCTGGCATCTTCAGGGCATGCTGGGTGTTAGCTCAATGTCCCCACTGTCAAAAACACACTGGAGCAAAACAGGGCACTGCTTAGAACAATCACGGGAACAGAGACTTGGCTGCTTCTGTCAGCCGAAAGAAAGCTGGAAGGCAGCATGACTGTTCTTGGTAAGTAAGCCTCAGGGGAGTGTGTGAACTCTAGGGAGGATATTCAAATTATCCCAGGGAAGGAGCAAATTGATTTAAATAGGTGGTAATGGATTTGACTACAAATTAAACAACAGTGGCAATTGTTAGTGCAGCAACATTGGGAACAGCTATTTCATGTCAGCAGTGAGGGCAAAAGTCCAAACTGCTGTGAAGATGGAGCTGGGCAGGGACAGCGAGCAAGCTTGCTGTTGTGCACATGGGGGACTGGATTTGATGACCCCAGAAACCTCTCCCTGACCCAGGTTTCTGCTAACAACCCAAGCAGGATTAAAATAAATGCAACAAACCCATTGTGGTTTCAGTTCAGAGCTGTAAGGCCAACCTGCTTACTCTGCTTTTGCCCAGGGCTGTAGGCATAGTAGATGTTCAAGGGTTAGGAGCAGGGTGGGTGCAGGTCATTTCAGGGGCAGCAAAGGGCAGCTGTGCTCCCACTGCCCTTTTAGCTTCATGATGAGGCCAGGCTGGTGGCAGGAGGGCCATTGGTTCCCATGCTGGATCACACTGGTCCTGCAGCAGGAGGAGGTTCTGTGCAAGACTCCTACGCAGGAATGTTTAACCTGATGGCCCCTGCATGGCAGTGGCTCCAAGCATGTTAAGTTGGCGACACACCTCGGGCAACCCTGTAGAACCTTCCTGCCCTGATAAACTCACAGGGGCAAAATGAGAGCCAGGACCTCTGTGCAAGTCACAGAGGATGGTGTTTAAACAGTACATGCTGGATAACTGTGCCAAAGATAAAGCTGCTGCTCTACCTGCTACCCCTGTACAGAGGTGTGTTATGGTAGTTCCCCCTGGGGAATTTTCCTGTGCTTCACAGGACAGAGAGGCTGGATCAAGGGGAGTACAGTGAGGTACAAACAGTGCTGGTAACCCTGTGAAACCCTCCCATGTTTTCCCTGTGTCTTCCCTAACACAATAGCAGTGCTAATCAGGCATTGCTCCTTTTCTCTTGCTGGTGCCCTTGGTTGATGCGGGCATGTTCAACACTGTTATTGCTGTCTGTGTGTTAAGCGTGGGCAGCTCTTGTTCATATCAGCATCGTTGTGGCTTTTTTCAGTAGCTGCATGAGGTAGCAAGCTGTGATACTGATAGCTGCTTGCTTAGAGAGAACTACAAAATTCAGTTTGCTACCTCTTGCAGGTTTGTAGTTTAAGGTAACCAGATCTTTTGCAGTGAACCACGTCCTCACAAAAGAAGGTAAAACCCCCTTAATCCAGCCTATGAGTGGAGCGGATAAGGATGCTAATGACTCACGAAGTAGTTTCCAACTATGCCAAACTGAAGTGAATCCAGATGGATTCAGCTTGTAGATACTGCTAAAAGCCTGCAGAGCAGTAGGCCTGCACAGGACAAACAAAGACAGAGGACCTTAGCTAACAGGCTGTTAATGGAGATGGGAATCAGAGTTGGGGGGGTGGGAAACAAGCAGATGGGACATGATTGTGAGAACGGGCAGAGATTGCAGACTGACCTCCTGGGGTGACTACCCATCTCCGTACTTATTGTATGCCGAATGGCACTTTTATATGCTAGAGCGTCCCAGCAAAGTCTCCTGTGTACCTTTCTTCCTGGAGAAACTATATAATTGCTTCTTTTGTCCTTTCCTTATCCTTTCTGCATTATCTAGCCCATTAGGTCTTCTACACTCTGTGTCCTGCTGCAAGAGCTGCTTAACTGGTGAGCCGTGCAGGAAAGCTGCTTCTGCCACCGGGTCTCCTGGTCACAACTCTGGGCTCTGCCTTTCTTCACATCCCCGTGGCACAGGCTGTGTGCTGGCACCATTGCCCTGTGCTTGCATACAAAGCACAGACACAAAGGAAGTTACAGTCACCACAAAGTCCCCACTGAAAAATAACGTGACAGTCCGAGACAGCTAGATATTTTCACTCCCCTCAAGACAAAAAATAAAAGAAATACATATCTACTTTATCTCAACATAGAAACCAGAGCTACCAGGGAAGCAAAGCTGAAGAGTCTCCCTGCGGTGTGTACTGACTGGCTGCCTGCAGGGAAGAGGGAAGGCAGGTCACGGCAGGCAGGGAGGATGGCACAGCAGGCTGAACCACACTATCACCCACTGCACGGCTGGGGGTCAGAGAGGTCGGTACTGACCGCACCACTCATAGCACCTCCAGCCCATCACCACTGCTCTTCCTGTTTGAGTGCACACATGCACACAGACCCGACCTCCGAGCCAGAGCTGTGCTCTTGCCAGTGCACCACTCCGCCCTCCCACAGCTGGGCTGGAGCCCTGGGCTGAGAATAGGAAATGCTGAAATGCCTTTTCAAACGGATAAGAGTAACAAGTTTTCTGCTTCTTGAAGTGGGCAGGTTGGAGAATAACAACAGGAGGTTAACCTGACATGCTGAATATCCTGCTTAGTGAAAAGAAGGTCTGCAAGTTTCTTCAGAGAAAAGGAAATATGGGTGCACAGAAGTGATGTGAAGGTTTATTGCTGCAGAAAGAAAAAAATGTCAGAGAAAAACTGAAGCTTCAAATTATTCTCAGCTCCAAAAGGAGACATCTTGATCCTGCAATTAAGAAAACCTTTTATAAGAATTACCAAAAAATTCAGGTAAAGCTGTGAATTGAGCCATGACACTACCTCTAGAATCAGATGTAGGGCTTTCACTTAACAAATGTTTCTGTGGGAAATGGTTGAAAATTACAGCTCCATTCTAGTCAAAAAAAGTGTCTGTTCATTGAACAAAAGACTAGTCAGCGTTGGTTTTCAAAGCACAATGAACGTCATGTTTCTGATTTTCCTTCTTGGGCTTTTTGTTGTTGTTACAATGATAAAAGAGGAGCAGCACTACCTGAAGAAAGTGTGGTTAAACCAGACTTTAGAAATTCCATGCCTTGAGGACACGACCTCAGAAGATTTGTCCACTTATCCTTTGAAATGGCTAGTGGTAAGTAGTTTTCATCTCATGTGTAAAGTTCGGAAAGGACTACAGGGTATTTTTGCAGATTGAAATAGAAATGTTCTACTCTAGTGTGTCCTGTAGAACCTGCTAAACAAAGCATATCAGTCACGTTGGACTGTGATAAAAAAGGGAAAAAATATAAACATGGGTTTGCAACATACACACCATAATAGCTGTTAAAGAAACACAGAGGTAAAATTCCCTACTTTTTTTTTTTTTTTTCTTTTTTTTTATTTTCGGGACCACACACAGTGCAGGGCCATGGAAAGTGGCAAATATAACAAAAGTAAAATATTTTTTGTGTTGGATTTCTCAGGGATTTTTTTTTTTTGTAGTGAGGCTTTAGTATCTGAAAAATACATGGTTACAGTGTAGGGTAGTAAGATATCAGGCTGCTTTGAGATAAAAAAAAAAGGTACTGACTAATGTTTTTGGTTTTCTTAACCTCTGTGTCACGGATGCCCACTGAAGACATGCAAACCTAGTTATCAAGATAACCACATGAAAAACTATTTTAAAGCAATTTGCTGTGAGATGTAAAGCTTGCTATATTTTTGTACTTTATCTCACTCTCTGGATAAATATTTATAAGCATGTTTTAATGTAACCTTTTAACATTCATTTCAGCATATAAAGATAAGCATCAGCCAGCAGTTCCTTGAGCTTTGCCTGTTCATTTATATCTGTTGTCACTGAGGAGCTGTAACTGTTGAGGGTTTCCTTAAAGGTGATTTTCAAATATTTTAGGTATTTTAACCTTTTGTCCTGGTTCATTATCTATTTCGATCTCCCCTATGCAGCCCATTCTTGATATTGAAATTTTAAGGGAACAGCCTTGTCCTTACTGATCTTTAGTTTTGCTAGTTCACTCTACAAAGCAGCAGAAGAAAATGGAAAAAAAAAACCCCATGGGTCAGCACAATGACATCTGTGGATTGCCACTGTCATACAGAGTATAGCTTGCAAATATGTACTGGCACAGATGTCCAGGATGTACCTCTATCTGTAGGCTGTACCTATGTCTAAGGGTGGCTGCCACACAGGCAACAAGAGGAGATGACTTTTGGTATTATCAAATTCTAGCTATTTAAAATTCCCAAAGAGCAAAGTTTTTCTTGGAATTTTGGTCGTATTTAGTATGTATGGGATGTTCAGCATAACTTAAAGACTGTTGCAGTGAGAAAGCAGCTCTGTTGGCCCTCCCTGCAGGATACAGAGATCAGGATTCATCAGACACAGCTATTTACTCCATATTTTTGTTGGTAAGAAGATGACTGCTCTTGATGTTGAAATTCTGGGAGAGAATGTATTCAGGAAAAAAACTAAATGTTGCAAGTGTCCACTCCACTTACTACTACCCAATGCTATGGGTGAGAGGGAAGATTTTGATAGTGGGAATAAAGTTGGCCTACAAAAATGTTTTTCTCTCCATGTGTCCAGTCTGTCTTCACTACACGGTGGGTTTTTCTTTTCACAGGGTGACAACGACAGGAAAGAGGAACTTGTGACCAAGGAGCCCTCCTGTCCTGCCGTGTACAGGAACAGCAGCTCAGTGTACGGGCAAAGAGTCCGCCTGGGTCTGAATAACACTCTAAAGATTTTTCCCATCAAAATCACTGATGATGGCAGAGTCTTTTCCTGCCACGTGATGTATCACCCCGAGAGAGTCCAGAAGAGCAGCACCACTGTGAGAGTATACGGTAAGGGGCTTATGCCAACTGCCTGCTTCCTTGCACTTGGATGGGTAACGCTCCTCTCTGCTTCTGAAGCCAACAACTTGAAACACACTGATTGGTTTTTTTACTATAAACATATTTACATTGTAATTTTTTTCAGCTGCAGTGAGATAAAATGTTGGAAAATAACCCTGTAGTTCTTAGAGGAATTTGAGGCTATTCCTTCAATTCCTTCAACTTCGGGCATGAAAAAATAGTAGATTTGTTGCACATGTATCACCCCCACTGGCATGTGCATGGCCAGTGTCTTACCCTGATGTGTAGGCTTATGTTTGCAGGTTACAGGTCATCAAGATCTCTGTGCCCCAAATGACCATGCTGCCCGTGGTTAGGAAATCATGGCCAAAAGTTAGTGAGCAGTTTGGAACTACTGCTGTTGCAAAGTCACATCCTCAAAAGTATGTGATATTCAACTGCTGCCAAATGCTCTGGCTCTGAAAATGAGGGTCCTGACTGGGGAGTCTCCAGCTGGTCAGGAGTGATGGATCCTGTGAACTGCAAACATGTGGGCTGGCATTTCATGCTGGAAGCCTTCCCCATCTTTAGTTACTTGTTCTGTTCCCTTTCTAATGGCTTAGAAACTACTCTACAATTGCTGAGGTACAATTGAATCAAAAAAATGCTGCCCATTTGAAAATGAGGCTTTATTTTCTGGTTATAGATCTGTTGGTCTGGAAAACATATTTCCAAAGCTCCTAAAATGAATGGGTGTTAAACAGTGGGTCTGTCAGCAGTCCCTTGACTGTAGCTGATTGTCCCAGGAAGCCCACACCTTGAGGCTGGCATGGCCATGCGGGGCTGATGCTCTGAATTCAAAGGAAGGTTCAACAGGGAGCAGCAAAGAAAAGAAAAATGTGTCTGGGGGCTGCTGGTCACTGATGTAAAAGAAATAAAAATAGAAGATAATGATCTAAAATCTCCTCCTGCGTTTGCATGATTCAGACACAGGTCTTATTTTAAAAAATCAACATTTGTCAAATAGCGACAGTGTTACCTGGGTAATTGTTCAAGTATACTAATAAACATGCTTGAACTCTCCCTCCCCTCCATCACTGCTGATGCTCTCACCTTGATTTCTGTATGTGTTAGCCTAAGAGGTTGCTATATTTGGGGTTTCCCAGAATTACTGTGAGGTGTGTGCTTGTCTGCGTCAGCATATGAGTACAACAGGGTAGAGAGGCAAACAAGAGAAGGCAACTGTGGCCCTTAGTGGTGATCTGTGTATTTCCCAGTAAGTGCTGGTTGGCTTTGAGGGTGCTGTGCTGTCAGCCTCTCCCACAGGGGTCCTGAGGGCAGGGTTAGGTGCAGGGGCTCCCTGAGAGCCATGAGGTTTGTGGTGGATGCTGAGGAAAGTCTCTCAGACTTGAGGCAAATGGAGTCTGCATCTTGGAGGAAGTGTGCTTTTGTGCTCCCTGCCCTTCCACATCTGATATTTTGCAGGTAAAATAACTATTTTGCATCCGGTGTCACTCTTTTCTCTTACTATTCCCTGAAGTGATGCTGCTTATGATTGTATCATACCAGCCTTTCTCTATTTACCTCTCTTGTCCTGCAGCAGGATGTGAGGCCAAGAGCAGAGGGTTTAGAGCTTCCCCTGCACCAGCACATACACTTGTGCACCGCTGGCAGGGCAGAATAGCCAGAGACAGTGGCCAGAATAATCCAGCACTCTACTGGTAACATTCGGGCACAAAGAGCCCTTTTCAGACAACACCACCTCTCTTGTTCCTTGTGCTTAACAGGGAATGAAGGAATGAACTTTTATGCCTTAGCAGTTAGATCCATCCTCAAAGGACTGGGACAGAATCTAGAGACAGTATGTGTATGCAATGTCACCAGCACATTATGTTGGTTATATCTGTTGTCTTGGCCATTAGCAAGGACACAGCCGGAGAGCAAAGCCCCGCTGAAAACTGGGGAGATTTTCCCATCTTGGCAATCCCTCCCAACACCCAAACTCTCATGTAATTGAACCCCACAGGCTGGGTGTTACAAAATAGGGGAGAGGGCAGGTGATGTTGCCTGCAGAAAGCTCCTTGTGCAGGACCACTCTGACAAATGCTTCAGGCAGGGCCAAACACAGCAGAGACAGACCAAGTCTGAGGGGCGATGAAGTGGCACTTCCTCACAGCTGAGAGCTGGGCAGGAGAGGATGGGAAAGGCCTGAAAAAGCCTCTCAATGAAGCTGAGAGTCTTCGTAAGTTGAGTAAAGACAGATGTTTGAACAAGAGAGCTTTTTTTAAGGGGGCACTTTTGGAGTGAAATACTTTAAAATATTTCTTTTCTAGAACAGAGTTCTTTTAGATACAAGTTTCTCAGAAAAGATATGGCCTTTTCAAGTCTAACTTCGCTAAATATTGATTCTCTCTTTTGTAACAGTAAAAGCTCAGCAGCAGAAACTGCTGAACTAAATATTGAATTTTCACTAGAACCAAAACACTGGTAAATATCCTAGCAAGACAAGTGAATGTCAAAATGTTAACAGGGGCTGAGATGTTAATTGGAAAAGATCTATTAGATTATTCAGAGCTATGCATGAGAGCTGTGCATGACAGTTACCCAGCAAGCTTGTCTTCTGAAAAAGCAGAAGACAGCTTCCAATACAGATGTGGAAAAGTGTGCCCATTCTCATAAAAAAAAAAAAGAAAAACAAAAGGAAGAGCATGCACTAGACTAGACATCATTTAGTCTCCCAGACAACTTTTTGCTGAGATTAGAAGATCTCGTTTATCAGACTTTTTCTTGCATCTGAAAAAGTATGTCTTCTGCCAGCTCCATTACCATCTGTACAGTTTTGGCAAGGCAGAAACAAGAAGGAAATCTTAATATATTCATTTTCTGACAGGAAGAATCTACCAATCTACCCCCCAAAACAAAACAAACCAAACAAATGAGTACAGAGCAAAACCAAGAAGGAAAAATAAAAAAAGGGAAAAAAAAAGAAATTTTGTCCCAAAGTACCCTGAGTCCAGAAAACCATAAGGCCATGATAATTAAATACAGGTCATGACCAGGCATATTCCATCAGTAACATTAAGCAGAAAAGTGGAAATTTAAAAAACAAAAAACAACAAAAACAAACAAACAAAAAAAGAAGTCAGGAGAGTCCTTAGAGGATTAGCTATATAACACAACAGGGAAACTTGAGCAGTTCAGCTCAGAGGGGAATGTAAGGGAATGTAACAGGGTAAGAAAAAAGAGAAAACTGTCTTAATGGTAGAGAATAAACTGAGATTTAAGTTGGAAAGAGAAAGAATTACAGATCTCCTAACTAATCCAGGGACAGCACTTGTTTCCAGTCCAGTTTCAAGGGTCAGAAAAGGCCAGAAGTACAATTTATCTGAGGTTTTTGAGATTTTTTTTTAATATATTAACACAGTTTTAACAGTCCTTACTTAACAAGTCAGTTAATATTGCTCCAAATCAGGGATCTCAAAGGCTTATAGAGCCTGATAACTTTATTTTATACAGTCAACTGCATCCAGAACCAAAATGCTGCAAAACCAAAAGAAACCCCTTTTTCCGTTCCATGTGGATGTGGTCATCCACAGCCTGCTGTTCTGATGTGAAGGTGAGCTCTGGGCTTCCTGGCAAGGCAGGAAGCATCTGTGGTGTGACACTGTCACACGTCTGTCCAGGTGACAGCATGTGGGCGGCTGGCACCCAAAACCAGTCAATGTTTTTGGAGATGCCTAAAGCCTTTGGAGATGGCTTTGACTGGCAAGAACCCAGAGGAACCAACAACTAGCCCAGGAAGGGTGGCTCTGCTGCCAGAGCCGTGATTGCAGGACGGTTTCATCTTGTTTCCCCAGCAAAGCCACCCAGTTTAGATAGGTAGTGAAATACATCATGAATCCTGCGGCAGTAGCTGCTGATGTGTACTTGTAAACCACTTCCTTGACCTCAAATCGCAGCTGTGCAGGCTTTTATCTTGCTACATGTGTGGGTAGAGTT